TCTGCCTCCTGGGCTGGGTGAGTGTGCTCAGCACTGTGAAGGACTCAAGAACGGCGTTCATTTCTGTCCTGTCCAGCTCCATATCCTGTTTGTGGCATTCATGTTGTGCCTGTTTTTCTCCCCTTTGCTTCCATGGTTTCCTCCTGACTGTTTGCCCTGTGTATTTCAGTCTCCAGCGTCAGATTGGGAGGCAGCCTTGTGAATTCTACCTAACTAGCTCCATACTGCTAAACTGCATAAGTAAGTCAAATCCCAATAACACACACACACATACACACACATGCACACACGCACACATTTTCAAATTTAATCTTGTATATTGGGAACTACAAATGGTTACATTGATGTTTATAGTTTTTAATTAATTTTGTCTGCTATGTAATGAGCTTTTTGATCCCCAAGTTCAGACCTTCAGTTCAGCAATGTTTTCCAGTATATACTTGATTGTTGTTTTCAGATCTTTTTCCCACTTTTTTGTCCTTTAGCTTTCATTTTAGATACCTTTTCCCAAGATTGCTATCAACATCACTACTTCATTTTTGATAATATCAACTCTACACTTTGAGTTTCTCAAGTGGTTTTAATTTCTGTAATTATCTTTCTCAATGTATTTTCCCTAATTGTGCCAGCTGCTGTTTCACCTTATTACTGTTATCTTTTCATCTCCTTTTAAATTTCTTATTTCATAGACTCCATGTTTGCTTTAATGTCCTTGAGAAGGAGCAAAGTATTTGTAGTTTCCTACTGCAAATCTAGGGAATATTCCTTGTCTACCTTTTCTACTTTGTGTTAATTTTCTCCATTTTAATTGCAGTGGTTTTTTTTTTTTCATGTTTACAGGTTTGCTTTTTTATGCATACATGTCTTCGAATGAGGGCATTTATATAGTCATCTAATTGACCATGCTGTGTATCTGGGTTTTTTCCAGATTGTCTACTTAGTTCTTATTCAGGAAGACCAAATATGGTGGATCTTTATGGTGTTTAGTCCTTCAGATGCCTAAGGGAGGTGAATGCTGGGATCTTGAGCAATGATTATTAGGA